TATTAAAGTAAATTGTAGAAAACAGTGTTTGAGAATAGCTGTAGAGCGATGTATTGTTGGAGATGTTAATGTGCCAACAAATTATATTTAATGTTTGAAAAGTTTGTCCAATACGATCGTTGTCGGTAGACGCACTTTTTGATCATTAATGGAACTGTGTTGAATGATCCAACTTATGCGTTAATTCTGGTGTGGATGGTGTCCAAATGTTTCTTTAGACTAGATTTCATCGTAAAACGCACCATACAAATCTCGCACCGGAATGGTTTTTCACCGTTATGCGTTCGCATATGCCTTTTCAAATCAGTTTTACTAACAGTGACATACTTCTTGCAGATATGGCATTCATATCGACGTCTTTTGCACAATTTTTCATGGGCATCTCTTTCGACCTTTCGCAAAAATCCATTGGAACAGCCTCGGCAATGAAATGGAACTTGTTCAGTATGAGTCTTTTTGTGTCTCTTAAGGTTCTGCACAGTTGTGAACTCTTTGCTGCATATATCACATCCATATGGCTTCTCGCCGGTGTGAGTACGCATGTGACAATTGAAGTTTGCCTTGTGATTGCTGAAATATTTACAAAGTTGACACTTGAATCGATGGTTGTTTTTGATTGTCAAGGCTTCATGATTACTTCCGACGCCATGATTCTTCGATGCGGCAGTGGATACGCACTCGCTTGTTGTACTCCAATAGTCACTCACAGTGTCATCTTCCTTTTTCTCAAATTTCATTGTGATGTCCATGTCTGTGCTGCTTTGTGATACATCTCTTTGGTAATAATCAATACTTTGTGTGTTCAAGTTGGTGATTGTCATTTCGTCAATGAAGTTGTCTTCCTCTTCGTCTTGAAAGTCCTCGTTTATTTCAGATGCTTCGCTGTCATTTTCATACTGATAAGCAGCAAAAGTTGTTTCTGATGATTTCAAATTCGTTTGACTTCTCGTCTGGTCCTCTTCATCGCTTGAGTCAAGGATTTCAACTGGATCCATCAATCGGTTCCCAATGCCATTGAAGTAATAAGAATTTGTATGAATTGGGCTCATTATACAGGAGCTATCAGCTGATGGTGTGTTCATGTCTGTACCAGCATTGACTTGGTCTTCCAACATTGAATTAATGTGGAATTGATCATAGGTATTCTTGATCCTGTATACATTCGAAAATTAAGTGATACGCTTCTAAATAGTTGGAAACGTTGATGTCTTTACTTACCGATCGTTCGAAGTCCGTAGAAAATACTGCTTGAATTCGGCATTAAACGATAAACCATTGTGCTTGAAGACCATTTTAATGTTTTTCAAGGAATACTTTACTTGACGATCAAGCGCAGCAAGCATATTGTCCATCTCATCACTCCAAGCCAGCATTTTTATGGTTTTGTTTAATTTTAATGGGAAAAATTCAAACAAAAGTGATTTATTTTACTTTTCTTAAGAGCTCACAATTTTTGTTAGTTGATCCAATTGAATTGGGCTGTATTGATGAGATTTTCTCTATTGATATTTGATTATTTAACGATTAATATCTTGTTTAATATCGTAAACGATTCAGAAAATGAAAAAAATGTGCTTTGCACAAGGCGACGTGGTAGGATAATGACGATGCATATTGAAGTGACAACAGCTGTCAAAATGGGTTTTCGTCCCTTTCAATCTGCCTTCTATTGGATTCAATTCGCTGCTGTAACCATCGAGTATCTTTTGCCAAAAGGGGACGTTAAATTCAAATAGACAGAATAATTTGGAAAAACGGATACAACTTACTAAAATTCCAATCCAAAATAAAATGATCTAATATTGGAAATTACCAAAGAAATTATTTGAGAGTATTTGAAAGTACCTTGAAAAGATAAATACAATAAATTGGATAGTTTTTGGAATTTTATGAACATTTTTATTGAAAAGTAAATAAAAAAACAAAAAAATCTGGCCGATATTGTTGGAATAAGTCAATATGAAAAATTTAATGTAATTTAATTTAATTTCAATTCGATAGACTTAGTTTGCTATCTCTCTTGTGTAATTGAATTTATTGATCGATTCTGGTGTGAATGGTGTCCAAATGTTTCTTTAGACTAGATTTCATCGTAAAACGCATCATACAAATCTCGCATCGAAACGGTTTTTCACCGCTGTGCGTTCGCATATGATTTTTCAACTTAGTTATACCAACAGTGACATATTTCTTGCAGATATGACATTCATATCTACGGTTTTTGCACACCTTTTCATGTGCATTTCTTTCGACCTCTCGTGAAAATCCACTGAGACAGCCTCGACAATGGAATGGAATTTGTTCGATATGAATAATTTTGTGCTGTTTCAAGTGAACTGGCTGCGTGAATTCTCTTTGGCATACATCACATCGATGTGGTTTTTCACCTGTATGAGTACGCGTGTGCACAATGAGGCCCCACTTGCGATTGCTAGAATATTCACAAACTTCGCACTGGAATCGCTTTTTCGTACCCATTGTGTTTAATGAAGTTGACTTTCTATTACGCAATAATTTTGGAGTTGAACCCACTTCAGCCGGCTTTTTTTGACGTCCGACTTTTCGAGAGGAAGCTCTCATGTTATTCTTTTTGGCACCATTGACGTTGTTTGCTTCATTGTTAAAATTGACAGTTGATGTGTTTTGGACAGTTGTGTTCATAGCACGGTGTACATCGATGGCAGCTATCAGAGTACCATCGTCCAATTCTATTTCCTCCGCTTTCATTGCGTTTTCCATTTCATTCCTAATACTAACATCCACATATCTGTTCTTCGAAACATCTCCTTGATAATCAAAAATGTTTGATTTCCTGTTAGACATTTCGGTGTTGCTTCCATCGTTGTCAAATTCAACATAATCGTTTGATTGATGTGATATGTCATGGCCATTGTACCGAATTGCACGTTGCATTTTCGATGGTTGATCCTCTTCGTCGCTCGAGTCAATGATTTCAAATGGGTCATCGGTTTTTCGTTGGGAATTGTTCATATAATGACTTGGAGTATGAAATAAATTCGGATATTCGTCAGTTGCTGGCGTGTTCGCATCCTCGAATATTGAACCGATTTCGAATTCATCGTACACATTCTTGATCCTGCACACAATTATCAATAATTAATTATGATTGCAAAATTGCGGATATTGTTTTCCACTTACCGATCATATGAAACACGCAGAAAATATTGCTTGAAGTCAGCATTGAACGCCAGACCATTGCGTTTGAGGGCCTGTTTAATGTTGCCCAGTGAAAATTTAGCTTGATATTCGAAAGAAACAAGCATTTGGCTCATCTCGTCTCTCCAGCTCATCATTTTCGGAATCGCAACTAAAGTAGAATAGAATACAACAAGAACCTTTGCTGATTAGCAATAGTCAAGGTCAGTGCTCAGGTTAGTGCATGAGTCAACTAGTCTATATCTGCTATTGCAAATTAGTTGCTGTTCATTTTTAGTTGCGTTATGTGTATAAGACGCAGTAGTTCCGACTCTCAGAACCAGAGCTTTTTGCAAATATATGAAAATGTTAGTTCTAGGCGCATTAGATGCCATTTTACATGATTTAGATAGCGAAACGTATTCTTACCTTACTTAAGTTTTGATAAATAAATTCCAAGAATATGAATTTTATTCGCAATAAATTCGAGAAAGTACTCTTTTGTTACGAAAACCAATGAATATGATCAGTATTCTACCGATTAATTAAGATGCCAATTATTCTAATATCAATAGCTCTTTTATTTTCAATCTAATATCGTAAGGAACTCGTAAAACGGATGCAACATGTGCTTTGCGCAAGGCGACGTGGTGTGATAATGACGATGCTATTTTGAAGCAATGACAAGAGCTGTCAGTATGGGCTTTTCGCCACATTCAATTTGCTTCGCGACGAATTTAAATCGCCGCTGTTATTTCTGATTGTGTGTGGCCAAACGGTTCGGCTTGGATTCTATATTCAAACTTAGAGACTTGAAAGAGATTAAGAAAATTGTGAAAATAAATCGATGCAGTTTACTCAAGTTTACTTATAAATGAATTTTCAATTTATTGGAAATAGAAGATTTAACATTAGATTGATGATTGATTTTAGTTCAATGGATTAATAATGAAATTGAGTTGAACTTATGTGAATGTTTTAATAAGTTTGTTTTGTAATTGTTATTATTAATTATGTGATCAATTAGATCATCGATATCGATGTGATGAAACA